GAAAAAAGCGGCAGCCATGTAAATGCAAATGCTGCGGGGGATATTTAAATCCCCCGTGGATTTGCAATTCTGAAGTGTCTCATTAGCGTCCCTTTTTCGGAAAGGGATGCCAATGTAGACACAGCCCAGGTGTATTGACAGAAAATAAAAGTATTAGCTTAGAAAAATATAATAAATTTATAAATTTACATTGTCGTTTGCTGTCATTATGTTTAATCTATTTCATTGCCAGGTATGTGTTGGAACATTTGTCTCGGATAAGTCGTGTTCTGAAGCAGTCAGGTGGCAATGCCTTACTGGTTGGAATGGGAGGGAGCGGACGTCAGTCCTTGACCCGTCTGGCTACAGCCATGGCAAAAATGTGTATTTTTCAGCCTGAGATCTCTAAGAGCTATGGTATGAACGAGTGGAGAGAAGATCTGAAGGTGAATATTAACATGCATGTCTTCTGGTTTTAATTTTCAAGAAGAAAGTTTTAGAGTATATCACACTTTGAATCAAGTTAAAGTTATTTTTTTGAACCTTCTAGAATCTTCTGAAGAGTGCAGGGATGAAGGGATTGAAAACTGTGTTTATAATCACAGACACACAGATTAAAGAAGAAGCTTTCTTGGAAGATATTGACAGTGTACTCAATACTGGGGAAGTACCCAATCTTTTTGCAGCAGATGAAAAACAAGAAATTATGGAGGTATCCTTATAAAATTCCTATATTACTCTTAAAATGTGATATCCTCTACTAAATTTAAAAGGGGAACCAGTTAACTTGACAACACAATTTTAAAGTAAAACTACAGGATTTTTGCATCAAGAATTTAACCAGATATACTTTAGTTAAATTGTCTGTTTACGCATGAATATATCATTTAATGACCTTTACTGTATCTTGTGTAATCATATTGTTACAAGATCTTATAAATTGCTTTAACCTATGCAGTCAGCCTCTATTAGTAGAAGCTTCTTGTATGGGCATTAGGGCATAGTTAGATGTCCTGTAATTAGGCACTTACTATTAGGGCTGGCTTTGAGGACATGTCCCATTTAACCTACTTATAGCTCAGAAGCACAAGAAGCCAAGTTGGTACATCTCTGAGGAAAGAAGAATAACAATTGGCAAAGCAAATGCAGCCTTCGGTAAACTTAGGAACATTTGTAATCTTAATACCGTATCCTTACATACAAAACTAAGCGTCAACCCAGTCATCGTTGCAGCCATAGCAACCTATGGCAGTGAAACCTGGCAACTTAAGAGAACAGATGCCCAGAAGTTAGATGCATTTCATCATAAGTGCTTGTGAAGAATATTAGGAGTAAGCTATGAGGAAAGAAAAATGAATGATGATGATAGAAAATGGCTAAATCAAGGTTTTAAAATAATGTATAAGAGAAGACATCAATGGTTAGGGTATGTGTTACGAATTGATCGTAACTGATTACTGATTATGGCTCTAAGTTGGAACTCAGAAAATCCATCAAGAAAGAGGGGTAGACCTACGATGACTTGGAAGTGCACAATTACCAACGATGTAGAAAAAATTAATTTGCAATGAAAGGACTTATGTTACATGGTAGCTGATAAGCAAGGGTAGAGATTGAGGGTAGCCCAATGTGCTGAAAAGCACAGAATGGACTAAGGTGTAAAGTAATCCCTTTTAAACAGAGGGTTGTTTTGTTTATGAAATACCATGATGAAAGCACAATTCCCTTTTTCACTGCACCCTTGAAGCTCACATGGAAATCAGTGATAAGTGCATTAGCGTATTGAAAACCAGAAATGGGCAGTAAGTGTATGTGGTCAATTATATCTTACCATAACACTCATTTTGGATGCTTAGCACTTCCAAAAATTGGGGCTTAGGTTTCATAATTTGGATATTCAAAATGATTATAGTATTTTGAACATGTAGGTCTTAATCTTTACACATATCTGTGTCATGTCAGCTAATGAAGCATTGTGGTGTTACATTTCCAAAGTTTGTAGAAGTTGGTGCACGCTATGTGCACAAATGTTTTTATTTAATTAGTTATGTTTACTTGATACAGTTTCTTTAATTTTTCTTTCTTTGTGAATAAATAAATATACTGAAAGCAGCATTCCATATATTTTGCAAATAAGTTAGATTATATGATGATTTTAATTGATTGGATTTTAAGGCATTATCTTTTCAACCAAGTATTTATTAAAGATGGCTGTCTTGGGATAGTTCTGTTTCAATATTATAATTCTTTAATTTCAAATAAAATTTTCTGTATAGCATTTAAATGTGGTAATTACTCTCCAGTATGTTCATTGAGATATGGTCCATCAAAATAATTCTACCACCAATCTATCTTGCAATTTTATAGATAAAAAAAAAAGAATTGCTAGGTTATGTAAAATAATCCTGTTTTCTGGGGGGAAAAAAAGTTCTTCTTCAAGTGATGTTCCCATGGGTGCTCCACTGTAGGTGCTGGGCTTGCCCCGGCACTGCAGGACAGAGATGTTCAAAGCTGTACTCAACTGGACCGCACATGCATGGCAGGGCATCTCATGACGCTCGCACTCTCCCGCGCTGCACGATCCAGTCCCAACCAGTTCCTCTTCAACCACCTCAGGCTGCAGACGAAGCAGACCTTCTCTCCTCGTTATCCACTCTTTGTGAGACAAATCAGTTAATTCCACAACTTACCTTTAGTTAATACCTGTTCCCGTTACTGTTCTTCTTCTTCTTTGCTTAAAAAAAAGGGGGAATTTTCTTCATATATCTTGTTTGAACTCTCTACGGCTAAGTTTCTGTTCTCCCCCCCATTACCGTTTTTGTATATAGTTAAAAAAAATAACAGAAGTTTTTCACTCTCTGCGGAGATGCCTGGATCCCCTGGATTCAAAAAATGCTCCCAATGCCGTCCTCCGACGGCCATGAGCCATGTATCGATTGCCTGGGAGAGATTCATGTGCCACAGAAATGCGTGCACTGCTCTAAGCTAACAGCCAGGGCTCGCCGCAACCGGGGAATGTGGCAGAGGATGATTTTATTTGACAAAGCCCTTCAGCCCCGGAGATCACCCTTGCCACCGAGCACAAGTCAACAGCCGCAAAAGAGGAGTGCGTCCTCCCCAACTCGGGCACCCCCAAAGAAATCCAAGCCATCTCCAGCCATATTGCTGCCCTTATCATCTCAGGGCAAGCCTAGTTCAGGAGGGAAGTCAGCTGCCTCCTCTATCACTACTCGGCCTTCCATTAAGGTTTCCAAAAGGGCAGAATTGCCTGGAACATTGGGTCACTTAGCTGCTGCTTCCACAACAGTTTCGGCACCACCGCCATCAGCACCATCCGCGGCGATGGAACCGCATACACAGTTGGCACCGACCAGAGCCCCTCCGGCACTGGAACTGGACTCTGCACCTACTTGAGCACGGGAGCAAACAAGCTGGACACTGGCACCGAAACTCACGGAACCTGCCCCAGCGCGAGACCACACAGCACCGCCTACAGTGCGGAACAGTGAGCCGCTAACTCCTCCACAGCACCGACCATCACCGTCGGCATATGGCCATGATGCGGAGCAGAGACGAAATGCACCATTTCGCCCTCATTACTATGCGGCCCCTCTCTCGGTGCTGGGACACACAGGACCAGCTTCGGCATGCCCGGTACCCTCAACACTGCAAACATCTGCACCAGCTAAGGCGTGAGCGAAGACCCATCATCTCTGTAATCCATCACCACCATCTTTGCTTTTAACATTCTCGCTGGCTCCATTGCCCTCTCCACCATCACCATCAAGCACTGGGAGATACGCAGCACCTGATAGACTACCATCACCGTTCCTTATACCTCCAAGGGCTGCCACAAGAGACTCTCATTGTTTCTCTGCTTCTCCATCACCTCTTCCCAGACGATCTTCCTAGTCTCCACAGGGTGCTTGGCGGAGATGGAGTTCACCTTTCCAGGAGCGGGAAGGCCTTGTTTGGACACAGACTGGCTAACCTTGTGAGGAGGGCTTTAAACTAGGATCGACGGGGGCAGGTGAGCAAAGCCCACAGGTAAGTGCTGAATGTGCGGGACTGGGAGATGGGTTGGAAATGGGGGGGACTACGGCCTATAATGGCAAGGAGAAAGGAGGGTCAGGGCACAACAGGGAGGCAAGATCAAATCAGTATCTTAGATGCCTATATACAAATGCGAGAAGTATGGGTAATAAGCAGGAAGAACTGGAATTGCTAACCAATAAATACAACTATGATATCATTGGTATTACAGAAACCTGGTGGGATGGGACACATGATTGGAATGTTGGTATGGAAGGGTACGGCTTGCTCAGGAAGGACAGACAGGGAAAAAAGGGAGGAGGGGTTGCCTTGTATATTAAAAATGTACACACTTGGACTGAAGTGGAGATGAACGTAGGAGATAGCTGTGTAGAGAGTCTCTGGGTTAAGCTAAAAGGGGTAAAAAACGAGGGTGATATCATGCTAGGAGTCTACTACAGGCCACCTAGCCAGGTGGAAGAGGTGGATGAGGCCTTTTTTAAACAATTAACAAAACTATCCAAAGCCCAAGATTTGGTGGTGATGGGGGACTTCAACTATCCAGACATATGTTGGGAAACTAACACAGCGAGGCACAGGCTATCCAATAAGTTTCTGGACTGCATTGGAGACAACTTTCTGTTTCAGAAGGTTGAAAAAGCTACCAGAGGAGAAGCTGTTCTGGATTTGGTTTTAACAAATAGGGAGGAACTAGTTGAGAACTTGAAAGTGGAAGACAGTATAGGGGACAGTGATCACGAAATAATAGAGTTCATGATCTTAAGGAAAGGTAGAAGGGAGACCAGCACAATTGAGGTAATGGATTTCAGGAAGGCAGATTTTGATAAGCTCAGAGAACTTGTAGGTAAGGTCCCATGGGAAGCAAGACTGAAGGGAAAAACAACTGAGGAGAGTTGGAAGTATTTCAAAGGGACGTTGTTAAGGGCCCAAAAGCAAACAATTCCGCTGTGTAGGAAAGATAGAAAATATGGCAAAAGACCAGCTTGGCTTAACAAGGAGATCTTGCATGATCTCAAAATAAAAAAGGAGTCATATAAAAAATGGAAACTAGGACAACTAACAAAGGATGAATATAGGCAAGCAACACGGGAATGCAGGGGCAAGATTAGAAAGGCAAAGGCACAAAATGAGATCAAACTAGCTACAGGCATAAAGGGAAACAAGAAGACCTTTTATAAATACATTAAAAGCAAGAGGAAGACCAAGGACAGGGTAGGCCCACTGCTTAGCGAGGAGGGAGAAGCAGTAACAGGGAACTTGGAAATGGCGGAGATGCTCAATGACTTCTTTGTTTCGGTCTTCACCGAGAAGTCTGGAGGTGTGCCTAACGTAGTGAATACAAGCAGAGAGAGGGTAAGTTTAGAAGATAGGATACACAAAGAACAAGTTAAAAATCACTTAGGAAAGTTAGATGTCAGCAAGTCACCAGGTCCTGATGAAATGCATCCCAGGATACTCAAGGAGCTGATAGAGGAGGTATCTGAGCCTTTAGCTATGATCTTTGAAAAATCATGGCAGACAGGGGAGATTCCAGAAGACTGGAAAAGGGCAAATATTGTGCCCATCTATAAAAAGGGGAATAAGAACAACCCAGGAAACTACAGACCGGTCAGTTTAACGTCTGTCCCAGGGAAGATAATGGAGCAGGTAATTAAGGAAATCATATGCAAACACTTGGAAGGTAATAAAGTGATAGGGAATAGCCAGCATGGGTTTGTGAAGAACAAGTCATGCCAAACTAATCTGATAGCTTTCTTTGATAAGATAACGAGCCTTGTGGATAAGGGAGAAGCGGTGGATGTCATATACCTAGACTTTAGTAAGGCATTTGATACGGTCTCGCATGATATTCTTATTGATAAACTAGGCAAATATAACTTAGATAGGGCCACGATAAGGTGGGTGCATAATTGGCTGGATAACCGTAGTCAGAGAGTTGTTGTTAACGGTTCTAAATCCTGCTGGAAAGGGATAACAAGTGGAGTTCCTCAAGGGTCTGTTTTGGGACCCATACTGTTCAACATCTTCATCAATGATGTAGATATTGGGATAGAGAGTACGCTTATTAAGTTTGCAGATGATACCAAACTGGGTGGGGTTGCAACTTCTTTGGAGGATAGGGACATAATTCAAAATGACCTTAGCAAGTTAGAGAAATGGTCAGAGGTAAACAGGATGAGGTTTAATAAAGAGAAATGCAAAGTGCTCCACTTAGGAAGGAACAATCAGTTCCATACATACAAGATGGGAAGCGACTGTCTAGGAAGGAGCATGGCAGAAAGGGATCTAGGGGTCATAGTGGACCACAAGTTGAATATGAGTCAACAGTGTGATGCTGTTGCAAAAAAAGCAAATATGATTCTAGGTTGTATCAACAGGTGTGTTGTAAGCAAAACTCGTGAAGTCATTCTGCCGCTCTACTCTGCACTAGTTAGGCCTCAGCTGGAGTACTGTGTCCAGTTCTGGGCGCCACATTTCAAGAAAGATGTGGAGAAATTGGAAAGGGTACAGAGAAGAGCAACAAGAATGATTAAAGGTTTAGAGAACATGACCTATGAAGCCAGGCTTCATGAACTGGGCTTGTTTAGTTTGGAAAAAAGAAGATTAAGGGGGGACATGATAGCGGTTTTCAAATATCTAAAAGGGTGTCACAAGGAGGAAGGAGAAAATTTGTTCCTCTTGGTTTCTGAGGACAGGACAAGGAGTAATGGGCTTAAAGTGCAGCAGGGGAGGTTTAGATTGGACATTAGGAAAAAATTCCTAACTGTCAGGGTGGTCAAATATTGGAATAAATTGCCAAGGGAGGTGGTGGAATCTCCCTCTCTGGAGATATTTAAGAACAGGTTAGATAGACATCTGTCAGGGATGGTGTAGACAGAGCTTGATCCTGCCTTGAGGGCGGGGGGCTGGACTCGATGACCTCTTGAGGTCCCTTCCAGTCCTATTATTCTATGATTCTATGAAAAGCATGAGTGGCGTGGAGAGGGTGCATAAAGAAAAGTTCTTCGCAGGTTAGATAGACATCTGTCAGGGATGGTGTAGACGGAGCTTAGTCCTGCCTTGAGGGCGGGGGGCTGGACTCGATGACCTCTTGAGGTCCCTTCCAGTCCTATGATTTTATGATTCCATCACTTCACTCTCAGAGATCTTACTCCACGTATGTTTATACCAGCTACCACCCATATAGGCGTTTTCCATCTCAGTCCTCATACCATCATAGAGACCGCTATGACTATTATCGCCATCGTAGGGACTACTCACCTCATTACTACAACTCACATTATTCGCACACATCCTCACCGAGATCCACGATGGGATATTCATCCTCCAGGCATTCTCCACTCTTGGCTCCTGCATTCTCTGAACAGGATCCACCTCCCGCCTATTCTCCCCCATCTGAACAGGGTGAGATACAACCGAATACAGAGGATGCACAGCCACCAGAGGTATCCCCAATGGATCATTCCTTCTCACCAGATGAGGCAGTTACACCAGATGAGGCAGGTGATGTTTCTCCACCATATGATGTGAGGCAGTTTCAAGACCTTTTTTTAAAGAGTTGCGGCCTCACAGCAAATACAGTTACAAGAGATTAAAGAAAAACAGCATCGCCTGCTAAAGAATTTACAAACAACCCAGAGTGCCAAACTAGCTATACCTCTGGATGAGGCGATATTAGAGGTGGCCAACGAGTTGTGGCAGACACCTGCTTCGGCCCTCCCAACCAACAAGTGCTCCAATAAAAAGTACTTTGTCACCCCTAAGGGCTCAGAGTTCTTGTTTTCTCACCCACAGCCCAACTTCCTTGTAGTTCTGGCAGCCCATCAGAGGGCAAAGGCGCCTTAATTTAAAACCAATCCATCAGACAAAGAGGTGAAAAGATGGGATTTATTCAGTAGGAAGCTATACACTTCCTTGACTTTACTACTAAGAATAGTGAATTACCTTGCTCACTTATCCAACCATAATTTTGACAATTATCCTAAATTGACTCCATTAATGGAAGCGTTTCCAGAGTCCAAAAGGCCACTTCTCAAATCCATTGTCCAGGAAGGTTACGCATCCACACGAGCAAGCCTACAAATAGCTATGGATGTCGCCAACAGTGCAGCTCGAACCACCCCCACTGTTGTGGTGATAAGAAGGGCCTCTTTCCTGAAGTCAGCTGTTGTTCCTAGAGAATTACAAACAAAAGTAGAGGACTTACTCTTTGATAAAGACAAGTTATTTGGTGAGCAGACAGATTCTGTGTTACATTCCAGTAAACACTCCAGAACTACACTTAGATCACTAGGAATGTACACCCCACCATTCAGGAGAAGACGCTATACTCCATTTCAAAGATGTTATGATTACTTTCACACCAGACAGCAGTGGCAGCATCAGCCATGACAATTCGATCAACCACGCCACCCCCAATGTCAGAGACCTCTGAGATGTAGGAATCTAGCCAACTGTGCGCAAACTCAATCGAGCAACAAGCAGCACATTTGACGTGTTGGTCGAGAGCAGGCAGACAACCCATCAAACCTCCATATGTTTCACCACCGTCTGAGGCCTTTCTACCATCAATGGTGCAACATTACCACCGACAGATGGGTTCTCGAAATAATTCAGTCAGGGTATGCCATCCCATTCTTATTTATACCTCCCACAAACCCACCATCCCCGTCCCTTTTCAGGGACCCATCTCACGAGGACTTATTATGCACTGAAATTACTCACCTGCTTCATATTTGTGCCATAGAAAAGGTTCCTCCTCCAATTCCAAGGGAGAGGATTCTACTCCCGCTACTTTCTAGTTTAACAGAAAACTGGTGGATGGAGACCTATATTGGACCTCTGACAGCTAAACAAATACCTCTGCAAACAGCGCTTCAAGATGGTGACCTTGGCCTCCATTCTTCCCACATTGGAGTGGGGCGCTTGGTTTGCTGCTCTCAACCTCAAAGACGCTTATTTTTACATAACAATTCATCCCACCCACAGGAAATTTCTACGATTCACAGTTGGTACAGGTCACTTTCAGTACCGAGTCTTGCCCTTCGGCCTTGCTTCCGCGCCCAGGGTCTTCACAAAGACATTAACAGTGGTTGCTGCTCATCTTTGACTCAAAGGGGTGATAATATACCCTTACCTAGAAAATTGCCTCCTGAAAGCAGGCTCATCGATGGAAGCATCAGAAATGCTGCGAGTTACAATCGAAACCTTCCTTCTCTTAGGCTTCCTTATCAACAACGACAAATCCATTCTTCGACCAACCCAAAATATAGAATTCATAGGGGCTCGTCTGGACTCCATTTCAGCAAGAGCTTACCTGCCTACCGACAGATTTCAGGCAATACAAGCACTGCTGGACAAGCTCCTCTACAAATGATCCGTCCAGGTTATAACAGTGCTCAAGGTGATGGGCCATATGGCCTCAACGACATATGTTGTACCCCATGCCAGATTACACTTTCAACCACTACAGCACTGGCTCCTAAAGGTCTACAATCTGACAAGACATAACGTGCACAGAACAGTGACTATTCCTGAAACAGTCAAAGCTTCCCTCCACTGGTGGACCAGGGACAACAGCTTGCTCTCCAGTACCCCATTTTCGACAGCCCCCACCTTGACACCACATAAATAGTTGCGTCTCTTATCAGCTGGGGGGCCCATATGGGCAATCTTTCCATTCAAGGTCGCTGGTCTCCGTAGGAGTCTCTGCTACACATAAATCTCCTAGAGCTCAGAGCGGTCGCCAACGCCTGCAGGCATTTTCATGGACACCTCCGCAATTCTATGGTTGCTATCCTCACAGACAATATAGCGACCATGTACAGGCAGTCCCCGGGTTACGTACAAGATAGGGACTGTAGGTTTGTTCTTAAGTTGAATTTGTATGTAAGTCGGAACTGGTACATATTGTAGGGGAAACTCTAGCCAAACATTTCTCCAGAGCTCAGTTTTATTCTCCCACACCTCACTTCCCTCAGGGTATTATTCTCAAGCTGAGGTGTCTGCTGAGAAAAGCCGCTCCGCGTCTGGGGGGGGCGCTAGCTTCGTGTCTCCCTGGTCTGCTGGGGGGAAGCAGCTAATGTGGGGTTGCCTCACCCCGTTTGTAAGTAGGGATCCGATGTAAGTCGGATCCATGTAACCCGGGGACTGCCTGTACTACATAAATCGTCAAGGCGGTGCGTGATCCCAATTGCTCTGCGCAGAGTCAACCCGATTATGGAATTGGTTCATTGCCAATGGCATAGCCCTTGTGACACAACACCAACCTCGTTGCATCATACTTCTCGGAGTCCAACAATGTAACTGCAGATGCTCTCAGCTGTCATTTCACAACAGACCACGAATGGGAAATTCACCAGGGAGTCCTTCTTTCTATATTTTGGCGATGGGGCACCCCTCAAGTGGACTTATTCACCACCTAATCCAACAAAAAGTGTCACCCTTATTGCTCCAGAGCCGGTCTCGGCCTCAGTTCTCTGAGGAACGCCTTCCTACACAACTGGGGGGCGGGGGTCCCCTCATGTACGCTTTTCTGCCTATGCCTCATCTCCAAAGTCCTCCAAAAGATCAAAATGGACAAAGCTACCATGATATTAATAGCTCCCGCGTGGGCACGCCAACATTGGTATCCATTTCTCCTCCGACTAGTGCGATACCCTCCGTACCATCTCTCGTTAATCCCAAACCTCCTCACTCAGGAGCGAGGCTCTCTCCTGTACCCGCAGTTACGCTCCCTGCACCTTGCAGCATGGTACCTAGTTGGCTAATGATTTTGAGATCCTTTGCTCTGACCAAGTAAAGAACGTTCTCATTCACAACAGAAAGCACAACACATGATCTACTTACCTTGCAAAGTGGACACAATTTACTTCTTGTTGTTCTTAGTGACGTATGGATCCTCAGGCAGTCCCCATCCATGTTATCCTAGACTATTTAATGCACCTGAAACAGAGTGGACTAACCTTGGCATCTCTTAGAGTTCATCTCGCAGCACTCTCAGCCTTTCGGCACCTGATTGATGGTGCATTGGTGTTTGCCCATCCTCTCACTAAGAGATTTCTTAAGGGCCTAATGAACATAGATCCACTCACATGAGCTCCCCCTCCCTTGTGGAGTCTAGACTTGGTCCTTTGGGCTCTTACAGAACCACCCTTTGAGCCCCTAGCTACGATTCCTCTCCAGACTCTTACAGTGAAGTTGGTCTTCTTCATAGTCATCACTTCCACACGATGAGCGAGTGAGATTTCAGCTCTGATGGCAGTACCTCCATATACCATCTTCAACAGAGACAGTGTGATCCTCAGACATCACCTGGCATTCATCCCTAAGGTGTCCTCAGAATTCCACCTTAATGAACTAGTGGTGCTAACTGCTTTTTTCCCAAAACCTCATGCATCGCCACGTGAGACAGTCTTGCACACACTTGACGTCCGTAGGGCCTTAACCTTTTACATAGAATGCACTAAGACTCTTAGGAAGACAGATTAATAATCTCCCTTGCTGAACGCTCTGACTGGGAGCCCTTGTCTTCACAGCGTATTTCCAGCATTATTGTTTCATGCATCACCCAATGCTATGCTGCACGAAACGTGCCACTCCCACAACGCCCTAGAGCTCACTCTACAAGGGCAGCAGCTACCTCCACCGCTTTCCTAAAGGGTGTCTCTCTTTCTGATATTTGTAGGGCAGCCACTTGGGCTTTTCATGACACGTTTGCCAAACATTACGCCATTCAACGAAATGGCTCCCGGATACCTTCGTGGCATCTGCTGTCCTTTCTTCCATTAATAAATAAGTAGCCTCTGATCCCCACCTTCCTTTCCATGGCTGAGTACTGCTACTCAGTCACCTACAGTGGAGCACCCACAGGGATATCACTCGAAGAAGAAAGTGAAGTTACTCACCTTGGTGCAGTAACTGTCGTTCTTCGAGATGTGTCCCCCCGTGGGTGCTCCACTACGCAGCTGCCACCCTGCTTTGGAGTCTGTTTCTCTTTATTGCAGGTCAGAGGAACTGGTTGGGACAGGATCACGCAGCGCGGGAGAATGCAAGTGCCGCGAGATGCCCTGCTGCACATGCGCGGTCTGGTTGGGTACAGCTTTGAACGTCTCCATCCTGCAGTGCTGGGGCAAGCCCAGCACTTACAGTGGAGCACCCACGGGGACACACATCTCGAAGAACAACAGTTACTGCACCAAGGTGAATAACTTTGCTTTTTTGTAAATGAATAAATGTGTTATGTTTGTTTATCTGGAAACTTGAATCCTTCTCTAGCTGTAGGTAATTATTACACATCTTTTAAATGAAAATTTTTGAGTATTGCTTTCAAAAATGCTTTCAGTAAGTTCTTTATTTCTATTAAATGAAGTTTAGGAAATGTAGATTAGATAAGAAAGAACATGTATTTTACTATAATAAATGTCCTTATAATGAGGGTAATAATTTGTACAATCTGTTTATATCTTGTTCATGTTTTTTGTAAGTGGTGAAATATTGATTTTAATAGACTTGTAGTTACTAATAAAAGGCTAACGTACTTTATTGCCTGAGAAGGTTCCATTTCAAATTTTAATTTTCAGAATGTGATTTATAACTTGCACATAAAGAGAGAGACACTTTTTAATCAGATTAATCTTTATCCTGACCTAGAATACTATATTAGTCAAACAAGCAGAAAATTATTTCTAGAATAGTGATGGCAGAATTGCAGGTAAAGACTAGGGTGCCAGCCACAAATATTATTTGGTTATTCTATTTTTCTAATTTTATTTTATTTATTAGCAGGTTTTTTCTTGTTTTACCAATACTACATTTTAGATTTGATATTGTCTCAAAACGATTTAAATCATTTTAAAAGAAAGTTTTTAATGACAAGTTATTGATCATAAGCTTCCCCATCCCATTTATTATTCTTTAGGGTGTTCGTGCAATAGCTCAGGCTGGCAGTAAACATGAGGAACTCAGTCCCTTGGCCTTATTTGCCTACTTTGTGAACCACTGCAAAGAAAATCTCCATGTTGTGGTAGCATTCAGCCCGATCGGAGATGCTTTCCGCAATCGTCTGAGGCAATTCCCATCTCTCATCAACTGTTGTACTATTGATTGGTTCCAGGTGTGTAAAAATAGGTTGCTGCCTCAGCAACTAGGGGTTTGGTTTTCTAATAATATCTCTATTTTTATATGCTATTATGTTTCCCTTTCATCTTCTGGAAAGCAGGGCTCAATCTCTCTCAAAACCATTTAAAATATGTCATCCTAGTTTTGAGACACTATTTGATATTTCATCCTGTTAGAAGAAAAGCTGAAAAATCCCCCCTCTCAAATAGGTTGCTGCCTCAGCAACTAGGGGTTTGGTTTTCTAATAATATCTCTATTTTTATATGCTATTATGTTTCCCTTTCATCTTCTGGAAAGCAGGGCTCAATCTCTCTCAAAACCATTTAAAATATGTCATCCTAGTTTTGAGACACTATTTGATATTTCATCCTGTTAGAAGAAAAGCTGAAAAATCCCCCCTCTCTCCTATACGTCATCTACATCCATATGCTGCTGCTCGCCTCTGCCTCTGTCTTCAGCCACTTGCTGTGGTTAGCCTCAGCGCTGTCCCCTCTAGGCATGGTCTGCTCCAGCTCTGGCTCCTGCTTCATGCCCTGGGAGGCTGCACCACCAGGGAGAAGCTGCTGGGGCTGGGTCCCCACTGCCATCCAAACCCACTCCCCCAGCTGCCCCGTGTCCCCTGGGGGAGCCACTGCTGCAGCTGGACACAGGTGAAAGGGTCCCTGCCTGGCGCAATCACCCGGTGGTGCTGTGGGCCTGGCCCTGGCGGAGCAAGAGTGCGGGAGCAGGCTGTGGGGGAGTGGGTCATGCCAGGTTTGCCCATTTTCAAAAGATGCTTCATGTGTAGGCTTTCCATCCCCATCTCTGATGCATGGGGGAGGATATTATACCACAGAAATGCCACCACTGTAAGAAACTGTCTATGAGATCTCTGAAGGCATGGGACCTCCAACTAAAACTCCTCCTTATGGAGAGGTCTCTAAGACCAGCTTTGGAGTCCCATACACCACCACCTCAGAGATCTCCAATTGCAGCCTCAGATCAGGGTTCCTGCCTCCCTCCTCAGGTCCTTCCAAATAAAAAAAAAACCTGCTAAGTGAAAGAGGCATATCTTGTTAGGCAGTGAACTCCCTTTAAAAAGAGTGTCTCCATGACCTAATCTGAACCTTACCTATAGTTCCTTGTGTTGTTTGTGGCATTGCCTGCCCCAAAGAGCAGGTAGATCCCTGTGTTATCCATCCAGGGCTCCACAGCGGGCCTGTTCCCTTGCTGACACAACAGAGGATGCTGGTGCTGCTGGAATTCACTCTGTGCCAGTTGTCTGTCTTCCTGCCCGTGTGCTCTGTCCCTTGCTGCTGCCTGCTGTGGGCCTGAGATCAAGTGACCACAAGTCTGGCTCTCTCAGGAACCCCACCAACATACAGTCTGCCTTGATACCAATGACTCCATCCTCGTCGGACTGACTGACACCAGGCACATACAGACAAGTCCCAAAGGGCTGCAGCTTCTAAACAATTATGCCCTGCAGTAGCCTTAATGGCTAAAAATGCTGTTGACAGTGATGCACACCACCGCAGTGTTGGTACGTACAGAACTTGCAATACAAATTCTCACCGGGCCAGTAGCAATGATATGAGTCAGGTCTCATACCAACCCCAGTACTGACCACTGTGCCCTCTCATGTCTCATGAGGGCTTAGCAATATCCTCGTTACCTGGCACTCCTCTCTTCAGTACCAACAGCACATCCATGCTTCAGAGACCTAGCACGCGAATGTCTGCTTGTCTCAATACTTTGGACATTTGCAGAGCACTTGTGTTTTACCAAGAATGAATGAAACAGTTTAGACAATCTCCCAAACTTTTCCTTTCCATAGCAGAACACTTTAAGGTCAAGCTATCTCCAGTCAGAGACTTTCTAAGTGGATTGCAGCATGTATCAAACTCTGCTACTCATTAAATAATATTCCCCTTCCAAATTATATATACACTGTCTCTACCAGTGCAATACTCACCTCCACTGCATTTCTACAAAATGTTTCAATTACAGAAATATGCACATGGGCTTCAGTACACATGTTTATGAAAAATTATGCATTAGATAAATATGCCACTCAGGACACGCAGTTTAGCCTAGCCATACTCTGTATGGCCTATAGTCACCAGCCAAAACCCTGCCTTCCAGATACTCAGGGTACTGCTCCATAGTCGCCTACAGTGGAGCACCCACAGGGACACTCCTTGAAGAAGAAGAGGCAGATAGGCACCTTGTGCAGTAACTGATGTACTTCAAGATGGTTGTCCTTGTGTGCGCTCCACAACCCTTCCTCCTCCCCTCTACTTCAGAGTCTTATCATTTCTCTTCAGTAGAGAAGGAACAAAGGGACGGTTGATGATGTGTGCCAGTTGCATGCTTGCTACAAAGCAAGATGGCACCACACAAGCATGTCGGCGCCCAGGGTACTGCTGCTGAAAATATCCAATTATAAGTGCAGGGCACCAAAACATTTAGGGTATGTCTACACTGCCACCATAGTTCGAACTAGGGTGGCTAATGTAGGCATTCAAACTTGCAAATGAAGCCCGGGATTTAAATATCCCGGGCTTTATTTGCAAGTTCGAATGCCTACATTAGCCACCCTAGTTCGAACTAGGGTGGCTAATGTAGGCATTCAAACTTGCAAATGAAGCCCGGGATTTAAATATCCCGGGCTTTATTTGCAAGTTCGAATGCCTACATTAGCCACCCTAGTTCGAACTAGGGTGGCTAATGTAGGCATTCAAACTTGCAAATGAAGCCCGGGATTTAAATATCCCGGGCTTTATTTGCAAGTTCGAATGCCTACATTAGCCACCCTAGTTCGAACTAGGGTGGCTAATGTAGGCATTCAAACTTGCAAATGAAGCCCGGGATTTAAATATCCCGGGCTTTATTTGCAAGTTCGAATGCCTACATTAGCCACCCTAGTTCGAACTAGGGTGTCAGTGTAGACATACCCTTACAGTGAGGCACTCAAAGGCACAACCATCTAGAACATCAGTTCTTCTTCGATTAGTGTCCCCGTGGGTGCTCCACTGTAGGTGAAGGGTTGCCCTGAGCCGCAGATCGGAGCTTTGTATAGCAGTTTCCCCTGTTGAGCCACGCATGCCCAGGAGGCATCTCGAGCCCTTCCCGCCTCCTGAGGAGCGTGACTCAACCCCCTCCCTTTCAGTTCCTCTTTAACCGCCCTAGTCAGCAGACGGAGAAGTCAGGAGCTCCCTGTCAGATTATCTGACTACTTTCCTCTTAGTTATTTAGGCATAGTTAGCTTCCCCTGTTTTATCCTAGTTACTCTTTCCTTGTTTCTTTATATATAAAAAAAAAAAAACCTAGAAATAGGAAAAATAGAATTAATTAAATCCCCCCTCTCAGGGGGCTTGAACTTACCTCAGACCGGGACTCCGGTGAACCGGTTTTCTCCCGCCTGTCAAACAAGAAACACATAAAGACTTAAAAAAAAAAAAGAAGAAGAAGTAGCAAAACCACATAAACTATAACAATTTAGAAGATAGGGGGAGAGAGCCTGCAATGTCTGGCTCCTCAGGGTTTAAAAAGTGCGGTCAATGCCGGGACCCAATGCCGGCTTCAGATGGCCACTCGGACTGCATACGGTGTTTGGGGGAGACTCACTCTCCCCACAACTGTACCCACTGCAATTCCCTGATGGCGAGAGCCAGAAAAGATCGTGAGCTCCGCCTCAGGATGGT